CGAGTACTCTCAGCTCAGGGAGTGGGGGACTCCTGATGGAGTATATCGACCCCGACCCCCCGACCTGCCGACTATTGGGTCTGGACAACGATTCACGTACACCAGCAGACAACATTTATATTACTATATAGTTTACATATTCATTGTATGTACTAGATTAACTTTTTATACTATTAGTCCATTTATGTAACCAGGTCCGTTGGGCCCATATCAGAGGTCCAGACCCAGATTTCCCTATATATCTTTATAGGAGGCTTGTAAACCTAAGTCATAGAAAACATTTCCATCCCTTCTATACATTATCTCCTTCTCAATTCTTTGTTCATCTCTCCTAATTTATACAATATGGGTGATGGAGTATATGGCCCGGGAACCCCCGGCCCACAGACTCCTACTATTCCAGCGAAGGCCCAACAGGCCCAGGAGGCCCAACAGGCCCAAATCATAGCGCCCAGAGTACCAAGCAGCCCGCACTACGCGCCAGGGGTGCCTTCGGCCTCCTGGACGAAGGCTCTACACTCTCACAGAGCGGGTTTCTCAAGCAAATTAAGAAACTGGGAGAAAACGGCGAAAACAGTAGCCCTCGGCACTTTGAGCCCTCGGCACCAGGGTGCCATCGGTTGGAGGAGCCCTCGGCTACTGCTCCATAGCCGAAGGCATCTCACTCGACAGGATATCCGCCTCACATGCGTACAGATCGCCGTACCCTGCACAGACGTCCCATCCAACAGCCGCATTAAATGCGGCCACATGCGGCTGCCAGCGCCAACCAGTTGAGGTGACCCCTCGGCCAATGAGCGCTTGACACGTGTCCCTGTCCGGCATTTATTGCTACTATAAATAGCACCTCATTTCCCCATTTGTAACCACGCTGAAAACGTCATTCATACTGAATACACTCTCTCTCTACTTTTACTTACTTGCTCTGACTTCTCTCTAAGTTATTCCCCGTAATAACCCTTCGGATATATACCCCCGGGTAGACTATCCATCAATGGGTATCGATTATCCATCAATAATGATAATGATAATGATAATGATAATGTAATGATGATGATGATGATGATGATGATGGTAATGATAATGATGATGATGATGATGACGACGACAAGAGTTCTTGTTTTCTTATATAATTTTGTTTGCACATCCTTATGATTGAGATGTTTGTCTCCTTAAGAAAATAAAAATGTGATGCATATACTATGGCAACTTATAATTAAATCATACTTCCTCCGTTCTTTAATAGTTGCAACAGTTTGACTTTCACGTTTGCCAACACGCAACTTTGACCGTAATTATATCTAATTACGTATTAGTAAAAATTATAAAAAGTTAATATTTTGAAAATTCACATCAATATAAATTTAATAATATTTTATGCATAATAATTTGATCTTATATATTAATAAAAAATCATGGTCAAAATAAGATGTGTGAATAGTGTAAAAATCCTAATGTTGCAACTTTTAAGAAACGGAGGAAGTATTTTTTATGATATTAAAAATAGGTGAGACATTGTTATGCGAACTGCCACGTCTATGGCAACTTATAATTAAATCATAAGTCACATATATGGAGATGTGCATATAAAATTAATTTAAGCAGAAATTTGACTTTACAACTCATTTCATAATCAACAAAATATTGAACTATATTGGACTTTACACCTCATTTTTATAATCATTAATTTATGCAGCACATCAACCTAAAAATAATGAAATAATGGGGGTGCAAAGTCAATGGTTTTATACTAAATGAGTTGCACATGTCAATGATTCGAAAATGGTGTTTTAAAGTCTAATACGGAGTATTACTGAAAAAGTATGGTGTGAAGTCAAATCTCTCCCTCCTAAAATTAAACTAGAAAACAATGATTGTAATTATTATTACTATTATACCCCCCCCCCCTCCCCCCGGTTCTTATTTAAGTTTACACTTTCTTTTTTTGGATGTCCCAACCAAGTTTACACTTCCTTATTTGGCAAAAAAAATTTACATCAAAACGGTGCAAAACAGTGCCAAAACGGTGCAAAAACAGTGTCAAACAGTACCAAACAGTGTCACAACAGTGTACTCTACAGTAAATTTTCTTAATATGTGTGAAGTCAAAGTGTCAAGTCAATTAAGAGCCGGAGGGAGTACTTATAATTATTATTATAACTATTATTATTATTACTATTACTATTAAGAATAGGTGTTTATAGTAAAGTGAAGTTGTTTTATTGTTTTTTTATCTTTTCTTAAGGTTGATTTTTCCCAAGTGGTCAACGTGTTAAATATAAATTGTTACTCCCTCCAATTCTTAATTAATTTTACATTTTAATTTCCTTTTTGGATCGTCCCATATTAAACTTTACACTTCCTTATTTGCCTTATTTGGCAAACAAATCTACACCAAACAGTGCAAAACAGTGTCAGACAATGCCAAACAGTGTCAAATAGTGTACTTTACAGTAAAGTCAAATTTATTTTCTTAATATGTGTGGAGTCAAAGTGTAAACTTCATTAAGAACCGGAGGGAGTATTACACATGACTTTTAACATTCCCTCAATATAATGGTAAAAGTAAAATAATATAATAACGAGATTGATACGGACTAGAATAAAGACTAAAATGACATATTTATTAATTTAAGGACAAAAAATGGTAATGATTGTTTAAATCATTTGTGTGTTTTACCTTAATTATTAAGAAGTACGATTTATGTTCAAATAAGAATAAACCTTGACGTAAGAATTGAGAACACATCTCAACCATCCAAATAATAAAGTAAGATGAGATGAGATGATGAGAAACCAAGGGTATTTTAGTATCACCATTTATTTCAATTTATGGTAACCAACGTAGGAGTTAATATGTGTGATCCAACTTAAGAATAAACCTTTCAAACATGGTAGTGTCCTTTTCTGGAACCGTTACTATTTATATGGTAACTTGCTTCACGGTATCTTAATAGTATTATTAGTATTTACCATATATTTTTCAACATTTTTTTGTGTGCACTATATTACTAATATTTGCCATATTTTTTATACGTAGTATATTTCAACATCTTTCAATTTTTGTAAGTTAGATATTAGCTGTTGTGTATTTCAAATAATTACGTTATAAGTGAATCAAATTAATGATATTAATTAACTCGTGCATTAAATTGTTATTTATTTTATATATATTCATTGTTATGTTATATATCAAATGTGAGTTAGATACTGGTTCATGTGCATTAAATATTGGGGATTGTGTGCTAGATATCGGTTCAACATACTTTACGTCTTAACATACTTTACGTTTTAATAGTTGCATATTTTGCTCACTCATATGCGGCATCCGTACAATTCACTATTGCACTATTGTGTCACTCAAATGCAATATTTGGGACTGTGTGCTAGATACCAGTTCTTATACATGATGTATTTGTTGCGATTTTTTATGTCCATACTATGTGCTAGATACGAGTTCTATAATTAATGTATGTACGTACTGTGTTGTAGATACTAGTTGATGTGAATCATTTAATATAATAGTTTAAACTTTAAATTATATGAAATTCTTATGTGTTCAATATTAGTTCTTAATTATTGTGCGTTAGATACTGCTTTTTGTGATTGAGATACTTGCTCTGGTGCTTTATATACAAACTATTTGTGAGATACTCCTTTTCGTGTGCAGTAGATACTATGTTCTTGTGTGTGTGATAACAAGAGGTGCTTGTTGTGATTTATTGTATACATATAATACTATTTTTTTTAAAAAAAATATATACATTATTGGTGTCATATGAAAGATAAAAAACTATTTAATTTGATATAATTTTTAATAAAATTGGATTATAATTTAAAAGTTAAATCAATTTTAAACTAAAAACATTTTATATGTTTTGAGATTTTATTTTTACCTACTTTTTTTTGTAAAGGTGTAGCCTACAACCGTTACTCCATTAAATGAATTAATAAAATTACTCTTATGCCCATTATTAGTTACACGTCCCCCTTTCTATGTGTATGAGATAGGTTACAATGTGGGGATGTCCATCTTTATATTATGATCCATATACTTAATGGTCATTCATTTAATGAGATGATGGATTAGGATGTGTTATCATTTCTCATAATAAGGAATGTTCTTATTAGAACCTCTCCTAAGAAGTACTTGTACTACATAGATAGTATTATTTATACATGCATCATCATACTATATTAATTGTGTTGTCTTCATGTTAATAACAAGATTGTGAGGAAGTGGGTAGGCATGGACCCAACTGAGCCGAACCGGACCGGAATCGGCCCGACCCATTACTGTACGGGACCGGATTGGACCGGACCCGGATGGTCGGTTCCGGGCTTTAGCCCGGGTTGGGCGGGCCTGACGGGCCGGTTCCGAACCCACATTTATATGAACCAGACCAGTCAGTTCCAGGCCTTTTTTGTTTTTTCAATTTTTTTTCTTTTCTTTGGGTAGGGCTGGGTGTTTTGGGGAGGTTTGGGGGTGAGGGTGAGGGGGGGTCGGGGGATAACAAGAAAGCCAAAAAAAAGATACATTGAACCGGCCCAGACCGGTCCAGCCCGGTTTGGCCCGGACCCGGTTTCAACCCAGGCCGGTTCCGGGCCCAAGTATCTGGGAAAAAAGCCCACCCGGGCTCGGCCCGGAACCGAAACCGGACCGGGTCCATCCCTAGAAGTGGGTATACACATACTCCCTCCGTTCCGTTGGAATGTTCTCGCTTTTTTTTTTGGATGTCCCGTTGGAAAGTTCCCATTTCCCTAAATGGAAAGTTATCATACATCAAAACAAGGTCAAACAGTGTCAAACAGTATCGAAACAATGCCAAACAGTGTCAAAACAGTAAAATCTAACCCCTGGTAAGTTTATTTCCTTAATATGTGTGTAGGTCAAACCGGAAACATTACAACGGGACGGAAGGAATATTTTTTCTTGATTTTTTAGGACAGGAGAGAAAAATCTCGTACCATTTAAAATTTTAAGTTAATTTGATACCATGTTGAAAAGTACGAGAAACAAGCTTTGATTTATTTTTTACTCAAATGACTCGATAGTCAATAGTACGAGGTGGAACAAATATATACATTCGAAGGCTCACATTCATAGTGTAAACATATCAAATACAGAACATATGTGGAATGCTTTAAACACAAACAGGTAGAGCTTAGGAATTGAATACAACAGGGATTTGGCAGCTAAGAAGACTTTAGGCCGAGTTTCTTCCTGGCCTCGCCAACAAACAAATCCTCAGACTTTATCTTTCCTGGAATCCGTCCGGAAAAGGTTTTGCACCCAACTTGCATCACAGCATGTCTTCTTCCTAGAGAAACTATAGCCATTTTGATACCTGGCTTATACTTTGCCAGTTTCTGCTCCTTTGCTCCACTTATCAATAGCTTCACATTCTTGGCAGCCAACAATGCATGGTTTTGAGCTATAAATCCTTGCTTTAGTTCCTAAACATTGTAAACACATAATACAAAATGCAAGTCAGTCATATGTCACCAAACCGTGCAAATTGTTAAAAAACATCAAAGTTTCTATTTTTGGCCTCATGACTATGAACTATGAAGTCATATTTGTACCCTACTTCCACTTTTTACTTATAATGCATAATTACATACATTTTGCCATGCTTTGGTCCTTTCCGGTGATATGTTAGGGGCTATAAATAAACCAGAATCGCATGGAAATTGGCATCGTAAGTGGTTGAATGAACAAAAGAGGAAACAGATTCAAATATTACGAAAAAATAATCTAACATCAACAAATCGCTCAATTCTCATAAAATCTTATCACAATTTTTTGTCTCATTCCCACTTTTGGTCCCCGGCTTTCCTTTTGCACTTTTGATGCATAACCAGTTGGGGAATAAAATGGGAAAGGGCCAATAATCATGGGACTGGAAGTGAATATTTTTAAAGGAAAACCATTAGCCTTTAGAATGATTTGGTTGATACTTAAAGGAGAAGATTCAGTATTGGCTTACTTTGATATCAACAATGTCTCCAATGGCAAATATATTATTGTGACCCTTGACCCTCAAGTTTGCATCAACCATTAACTTCCCTTGGTTATCCAAGCTACCTCTCAAATCGGTATCCTTTAGCCATGAGGTGCCAAAAGGCTTAGCAGCACATAGAAAATGGCAATCTGCAACTACACTTTCTCCCCCAGATAACCGATACACACCGTTTGAGGATGAGCTCAAGTCAACGGATTGCCCGAGGATGACATTAACCTTCTTTGAAGTTAACCACTTAAGCGCCCTGTTCCCGCCTTTTTCTCCTATGAATTCCAGCAGTGTTGAATGCTTGTGCACAAGTGTCACCTTTTTACTGGGAAAATCAACAGCTATTTCGGCAGCCAGCTCTACGCCCGTCGGCCCCCCTCCAACTATCAGTATGGAATTAGCAGATTTGATAGTATCGTTCTCTGTCAGGAAGAAAAGGATGCATCAATTACCTGAATGTCATGAATCTTGAATAGACATCATCACAAATTCAATTGCCAATGCAATCACACCCATACGAGTAAAGGCGATGAGCATGTTATTGCTACTTTTAGTCTTTTGACTCTTTTCCAGACACTTATCCGGCAAAAATCAACCGGAGAAATGGCTGGAAAAGTGGTTAGAAAGACTAAAAGTCCAAAAGTTGCCAGAAACTGTACACCAAAACTAGAAAAATAAAATCTGGGAGCCTGAAGTTGGAATGAATTAATGGTTGTGAAACCAGAAATGGAAAATTTATGAGAGGTCATTGTAAGCGATCATTATTCGAACATATAGAAGACTATATATATGAATGTTTATGTCAAATAGGTATGATATGTTATCAAACTCACCTTTTTGGTAGTAATTGAGTTTCTCCTGTCTTGTAGAACTGCCATTGTCCAAATGACCAGTGGCAACAACAAGATAATCATATGCAATTCGTTGGCCTTGTTTTGTCATAACCTCATTCCTTGTGATGTCGGTAGCTGGAGATGAAATAACGCGTGCATTGTGAAGGTATTCGCTGTGATTAATCACTGTTCTTGTTGCAAATGACGGCTCAACCATTGACCTTAAGCTTGCCCATGAAATCTCAAAATACTCCTTCCTGTTGTGGTAGTAAGTTATAGTTTGATTAACACATCCATAACAACACAAACCCAGTGCAATAGAGAAAATCAAACCACATCAGCATGAGAAACTTAAATTTGAAAATGAAATCCAGAAACCATTAAGTTAAAAATAACGATTAAGAGAAACACCTACATTTGAACACACATTAATCAACTATCAACCAAAAGTCCAAAATGTCACTGGAGAAACCAAATTCAGAGCACGTTTAGCTCAGCTTATCATCTGAATAAGAAATTAAGTGTACTAAGTAGTCTAAGTAACTATTAACTTACTTATTCAGATGAATACGATTTTACCAAACAATTTTGTTTTCACAAAACTAAATGGCTCCGGCCATTCTAGCCAATAATCCTTAATAAACATGCTCTAACTTAGTGAAGCTCAGCAGCTAGTTTTACAGAAGGATTTTCCGATTTTGTGTTCAGAAAATTCAGCAGAATCGGCCCTATCAACCGATTGCCACACCTAAACGGTCTCTCATTTGATTATTTTAAATTCAGATTTCCATACAAAAGCTGGTAGTAAAAATCGGCATTAAATGGATGCTTACGAATCAATGAGGAAAACGTCACAGTAGTTCTGAAGGGTATATGCCAGAAGAGAGCCTCCAACTCCTCCGCCGACAATCACCACCCTTTTCTTCTCCGGCATTGCACTTCCCATGATACCGATTCGAGTTCAGAAATCTGTAAAAAATCTAAGATAACAAGAAAAGTTGGATTTGTGATTCTGTGAAAAAAGCTGAAGGAACGTCGAGTTTATATACACACACAAGACAACATGTGGGTCCTGTTTGGGAGAAAATAAACGGATAATTGAATTTTGGGATGGAGTAAACTTCGCGTATGCTTCTCTGTGTTGAAGAAAAAGCAGTAAAAAATGCTAAGCGGAATTTGACTTCCACTAAATGTAGACGTCATTCAGACGCTATCATGTCGTAGGCATGTATTGATTTGATATTGATATAAGAGGAAATGGTGAAAAGTATACCTCAATTTGTAAAAAAAAAAAGAATGACACATCATCCTTCAGGTCTCCAACCCTGATCGAACTATGTAAAATGAGTAAGGGTGCGCTACACTTTATAGGTCTGAGTGTGTTGATAAGAATGTTAAGGCTGCTACGTCATCGTCCTGGAAGCGACGTGCCACTCTAATGCCCGGGGATGGTATCAAATATGCAAGGGCATGATGGGGGTCAATGTGGTGTGAAGAAGAGAATGAAGGGTGCTGGATTGCGTTTTGGGACATAGAATGTTGGCTCTTTTATGGGAAGATCATCCAAGAATCCAAGATAGCCGAGGTTATGAAGATGAGGAATATCAGCATAATGTGCATGCAAGAAACTAAGTGAGTTGGAAAAAGGCACGTGAGATTGATCTCGGAGGTTTTAATCTGTGATACTCGGGGAGGGAGAGGAACAGAAATGGAGTAGGCATTATGGTGGCACATGATTATGTTGAGGGTGTGCTTGATGTCTTTAGGAAGAATGATCGCATCATGAGCATTAAGTTGATAATAGGAGATGAGATCATGTCTGTGGCAAGTGTCTATACACCACAAGTGGAATTGGATGCATCTATCACTCAACAATTTTGGGAGGATCTTGATGAAGTGGTGTGACGAGTGTCAAGAGGAGAGAAGATGGTCATAGGAGGCGACCTCAACGGGCATGTGGGCCCAAGTCATGATGGTTTTGAGAGTATCCATGGCAGACATGATTTTGGCACTAGAAATGAAGAGGGGAAGAACATTCTGGATTTTGCCTCGACATATGAATTGGTTGTGATGAACACTTGGTTCAAGAAAAGAGACTATCACCTAGCACCTATAGAAGTGGAGCTAATAGTACCCAAATTGACTACTTTTTAATACGGACAACTTGGAGAACTAGCTACACCGATTGTAAGGTTATCCCAGGTGAGAGTGCTGTCACTCAGTATAGGATACTTATGCTTGATCTTCAAAGTAAAAAAAGGAGACATGTTAAGGTACAAGGGGAGCCAAAGATAAAATGGTGGAGGCTCGAGGGGAATCTCCAACAAAGTTTTGCACACAAAATGATGAAGGAAGATGTATGGTCTATTGATAACGACGCATATGTGGACTCCGACGACGATAAATAAGAAGATGTATGGTCTGAAATTTGGTATGGATAAACTAGACTTAAACAAGAAGATGCTCAAAAAATTTCATCCAAAAACTCCAACGTGAACCTCCCCAAATGGTGACGACCGGATAGAACCTACTATATAAGGGGTGATTTGCACTTTTTAAGTTAGTTCGAGGACTTATTTGACCATTTTCCCTATATACTTTTATCGAGTATGATTTTAATACTCTGTAATTCTTTATAATGTTGATCAAACAAAACCATCAAACTAAAACGGAAACGAACTAGAATAGTGTTAAAAAATAGAAAATTTGGTAACTAAGAATGCTGCCATCTTATAGAATTAAAAAAATTATTAAGTTGGATATCCATAGAAAATCTTTGGCACCAAATATCAATGGCAATAGAAAGTTAATAAGTTATGATGATGTAAAAAGATGAGCTAAAAAAGTTATGCAAATGTGCCTGTAATCTGGTATGGTAATACAAATGGATTATTAATAAACGACTCCTTCAATATATAGGGTTTTACAGCACGGGAGTAAAATCCAATACGGCGGTACTCACACCACAAGCTTCCCCTCTGAAGCTGACATCAATCTTTTTACCTTATCCGGCTGCAACTGCAATTGATATTAAAATGAAATTGAAAGTAATATCATAATTTAATTGAAATTTACAAGTATGAAGAAAAATATAGTTGTTATTAAGGAAGTTGAAGCCTACCTCCTTATCAACACACAAAGCCGTGTAGGCGTGTATAGATGATTTGGGCCTTTTCTTGACATCCTAAATTTACTTCCAAGTCGCTATGCATACAACAAAAACTCATAAGCTCATGGTGTTAACATATAAGAATATAACTCCTGAAAATCTACAACCAATCCTTAAAACTAATTCATGGAAACTGAATAAAATTGAAAAAAAAAAAAAGATTAAAAGTTTGCTGTGAGCAAATCAAGAAAAACTAAAAAATTCAAAAAATGCAACACAGGCAGGAACTTTTCTATAAATGAACAAATAGCACAATCAAATTTTACAATACAAGTTTGATTTTGCAAACGTAGCATATATTTAAAATAGATATAGAGGAGATAGAGAATTTACCAGGTGAAGTCCCACGACGTTTGGATACCCATTGCCACCGCCATGACTGAACAAAAAATATGTCTCAGATCCTTCTATCAAGACTCTGTTTTCGAATTCAAGGTTTTAGTTTCAAATATGAATGCTGGATTTTTATGCTCCGTTTGGATAAAGTGAACCCAGTGCAAATTCATTTTTAGGGAAAGGTCTCAAGGTAGGTTGGATTTGGATTCAGAAAGACAATTATTTTCCATACATGAACGAATTGGTAACTTTATGAAGTACAGGGGTATTTTCTGAATTGGATTCAGAAAGTCTCATATCACCTAGCTCAAGGGTTCACATATCATGGGCTTCAGAGCAGTGCATGCGATTTAACTCTCTTTAAACACTACTAGTTTGAGAAAGAGAGCGTGTGAACAGAGACACTTCTCAAGCGCAGGGGCTGTTCGGAAAAGATCACCACTTCTATTATCTATACATAGAAACTATCCACGGTATTTGAGTAAACCAGAAGTGATCTTCAAGAATGAAGAGCAGTTGTCTTGGGAAAAAAGTGTTGTGACACAAACTTGAGACTCCTGCCAGTCGGATTGCCTTAGTTGAACTATGCCCCTTTCTCTCATTATCCCAAAAAATCACCGAGTCCCATATAATTTTGCTCTTTTTAATCACCACTGAAACACTTGCTTTGCACGCCGAGTGTCTTGTAGTCCCAAACAATTTCAGACACCTCATCTTGAGGTAAAGACAAAGACTTCCTTTTCACAGCCTTGAGCAGTTCACAAAAAAATTTAGGATCTTGTAATTTGGCATACTCATGCAACAACCTCTCATGATCTGGGACCCAGTTCCTCGGGAACGGAGTGTAATCACATGACGGGATGAATGACATGCGAGAAAACTGAACACCTTCAATAGCATCAACAAGTCCCATCCTCAGAAGATCAGAGTACTCAGGTGCGGCGTTGTTACTGTGTTCCCTCAAGGAACGGCTCAGATCGCGCGATGCAATCTTATACACCTTAGCACGAGATTTCAGTCTATATCTGGCCGCATACAGCTTAGCCAGAGAGCTACGGATCACGTAAGCGCAAAAGCCGATAACTTTCCGTCTGTTATCTGCAAACCTGTACCAATCGGCTAATGTCTCAAGCAACTTATTCATTTGAGCATTAGTATGAGCTTGACCGGAATAAAGCATTGGGGTGCAAGGAAGTGGCTCTGGATCACTGTCACCCTTCACAAGCTTGAGCTGCCGGAACAGGCGAATACATCGTTGCAGGCTGGCAGTGACGGAGAGAAGTGTCCCTACGCCTTTCTGGCTCACAACAGTCCCTCCCGAGGCTGTGTAGTGGAGTGTGGGGTATATTACCCGGCGACAAATCATATGATCCAAGAATTGAACCCCCCTACTAATGTGCTCTATTTCAATCTTTGAGTTATCCAATCTTATGCCATACTCTCTCTCACAAAACTCGATTATTTCCTTCCTAACATCCACAGCGTCTTGCCTAGGACCTCTTATGCCAATCAAGAAATGTCCCCCGAACCGAATGTAGTCCATCTTTCTCGTTTTCCATTTCCCGCTCGATGGAACAAACTCGGGCCAAGACGGATTATGACAACCATCATCAATAGAGTGTTTCCAAATAGTGTCAAGCTCGCAGGGCCTGAAGAACTCAACTATCTTCTCTTCCATCATATGATCAAGCTCATTTAGACAGGCGTTTGCTAGCAATGGACTGAGAATCCCACAGTAGCCATATTTTGGTATCTTTACAGCCTCTTCTGGTGAAAAATCATAGAACGCCCTCAGCCAATATGGGTCTGGCTTCGGCTCATTTGCTTTCAGAATTCTTTTCTTCGTCTGGGCTTTTTTCAATTTGTTTTTATCCAACTTCTTCTCTTTGCCTGCATCACTGCTTCCTGCTCTCAAACCTGATCTGATCAAGCTTAATACCTTCTTATCCTTCAAGACTTTTCCAATGCAATCCATGGTTGTGTTCATATCAACATTATCGAAAATGTCACTTACATCACCTCTCAAATACCATAAATACCCAGCAAAGTTACTCCTGATGGTCCGGATGACAGTGTGGGGGTTCCTGCCAGGACGAAAAGCATGCGACTTAGCAGAAAAGTGGGGCTCGAAAATCGGCTCGAGAATCATCAGAAGAGTTTCTTGAACTACCTGGTCCTGAAACGGCGGGGTGTTGGAGGTGAGAACAGTATCGAGCTGGCGGCGGGAGAGGCTCGCAATGGGTCTTTCGTTGGGTCCACGAATTACTGGATGCGCCTTGTCGTTCCAGATGAATTTTCCCGAAACAACCGTGTTTCGTAGGGAGACAAGATCGGAGAGGATGTGACTGTGGATTGCATTGCGTGGGGGGAAGGAGCCGGTGACGTGGGCGCAGGTACGCTGGTAGGCAAGGACCCAGAGGTCTAGCTTCGAGAGGAATCCGGTAAGGTTAGAGATGGGCTTTCCCGGTTGTGAGAAGGTCTTGACCCAGAGGTTGGATAGAACTTCAATAGGGTCTTCTTTGAGAAGATGGTATGGACCTTGTTGCAGAGGTGGACCAGCTAGCTCCGGCGGAAAGGAACGCCGACCATTGTGATGGAAGTTGCGTGAAAACGAGCGAATTGAAGTAGCGTTTATGAAGTGTTTGATGTTTGACCTCAAAGACATTTCTGTAGTCAGCAAGGACTCGAATGGCTCGGTTATAAATATACGGAGTAGTTTTAAATATAAAATATGGTGTTCTTTTAAAGTTAAAAAACTATATCTAAAATCTGAAATCATAAACATAATAAACAACAAAAGACTTTATTTATATTAAGATTTATCTTAAGGAGGTACTAGATGAACAATTGGGAGGATAACTTTTGGATTGTTGAACGGAGAGCGATACTTAACATCTGATTGCATTTTTCAACTGAAATGAAAAATGACTACCGAAATACAATTCTACATCCAAAATAGACCTAAGAAAACCCTCTTTTTTTGTTTTTGTTTCATTCTTAAGATTCTTTGGGTTGGTTCTAGAGTTATATCTTCTATTCTATCTCCGAAATAATGAGTTGAGTTCGTATTGGGAAAGGATTGTGTAAGAAGTTCTCCTAGAAATATTCTTGTTATTGCTTCTACTCATATTCCTCAAAAAGTGGATCCCGCTCTAATAGTTCCGAAAAGGTTGAATACGTGTATCAAATTACGAAGGCTTGTTAATCCACAAAAAAGTACTTTTTTACTATTTCATCTACTAGGGGATTTTATTTGTTAATCTACAAGTTTTTGAAATTCAAGTCTAGTATACCCTTGCTTTATGTCAAATCAAACAAAAAGTGAGTAAAAAGTAAGGGTAGTTGTGACTTTTTGGTTAGAAGTTGTTTTCTTTTATAGAAATGAGAACTTCTTTTTGGGACATTCATAAAAGGAAAGTGGAAACTTCTTTGCGGGATGGAGGTTGTACGTATTAGGTTACACTTTGGACTGCTTTTAATTTCAGACCAGACTAGACCAGTTTAGATCATATTAGATCAGATCGGACCAAATCAGACTTGAATAGTTATAAAATACACAGGGACACAAGACCAGATCAAACCAGACCAGTTCAGAATAGACCAGATTAAATCAGATCAGACTAGACCAGAAAATTTCATTGCAAGTAAAAACATCCTAAATAAACGCGCATACATACGAGTCGTGGTCTTTCTCTCGCTTGTCAAAAGCTAGGATTTTTCTCTCAGGTGTCGAAAGTGGTGCAATGCCGCACTTCTGTGGATCTGTTTTTCTATGGATGATCTAGATCAGCGTTGTCTCATTCCAACAATTGAGGAATAGTTCGAATTGTTGGTTTTTGGCAAATCAACATGGGTGGAGGGAGGTGGGCGGTGGCAGTAGTGGAGGCAACATGTGCGACGAGCAGACGGGCAACAGTGAAGGGTTGAGCAAGAGAGAGAACAGATCAGCAGTCTGCCCCCTTCCTGAAACACCGCCTTGGAGCGATCAAGAAAACTAGCGGGAAGGAGTTTGGAGTATTTATGAGTCATTTTTTATGGTCTTATTTTCATGTTATGTAGGTTTATGTTGCTCTATTTTTCGTTGATGTCTTTAGTTTTAGGTCTACAATACTGATGAGCGATTCTGCTAGATATTATATTGTTAAAAGGATCTATATGGATAGTGATGGTTGTGTCACACACGTTTGGTGATTAGTGATCTGTATTGCTCTTTCAGGAGTGATCGTTTCTAAGTCTAGTCATAGGGTTGATAGTGCTAGTTGATTACGGATAGTTGTTGTCAGTGTTGGTCTCTTTGAGTTTGTTGTAACGAAATGAATCTTAATAGTATTAATATGCGCGGTTTTTTCTTTCAAAAAATTCCATTTACCTCTGGGGCATGATGTCACTAGAGTCATATGTGCCTCAAAATAAATTCAATACTAACACTTATACGTAATATAGCGTAGAGAGTTCGTATCCAGAGGGAAAGAAATATTATTCTTTTATGAACTAGTAATAAAAGGGGTTTTTTGGGATCATGTATTTTAATTTAATTAAACAGTAAGATGAACCTCTTATATGTGTTTTAATTCAAGAGATAAAGAACTTTATTTTGCTACTTTCCACGTGTTGATTTATTTAGTCGAATCCGGTTATATCTTTAACTTATCCCATCTCGAATACTCAATCGAGGAGTATCTCCAATTCATCGAGGGTAGTTATTAATAACGACTGTTCATTAACAACTCTTACTATTTATCAAATATAGAACAACGTCGTATACCGACTTAATAGTAGCATTTAATCTTCTTAACTCCTTGATGAAATCAACTGAGAATGATAATCTCAACACAACGGTTTCGGTTTAACCAACATAATTAATTCCTCTTAAGTTTATTAACCACGTCCGTGCATTAATAAACCGAAGTTGTTTATTTGTGAAACCACCAACGATTAATCATCGGTTCGTTGACCGTTTCTAGTAATAATTAATGTTGAAGCATTAACTAATCGTCACTTAGCAACACCCCAACATTAATATAGATATAAGATTATGGGAAGAATTAATATTCAAAAAAAAAGAAGTTAAGAAAATAGCTCACAACTTTAATATTCAAAAAGCTTCGAGAGCAAAACCAATAAATGGAAGTTTAGATCTTCATTTGGAGACTAAACATGCTAGAAAAATATAAAGAAATATATATTCTAAATTGAGTTTAAAAGTATGGAAGAAGGAATGAATATTAGTGAAGTAAAAGTGTGCTGTTTATAGGTGTTTTTCAGCACCTTTGGTCGGGTACCTGACCGGGTATAGTTCTTACCCGATCGGGTACCGATCAACTTCGGATTGATTCGCTATGTTCTTACAACATCTTGAAGAGAAGAGACCATATCACTAGACAAGATATGTGAATTGGTAGTTTCAAAATCAATCGTAAGACCAGCCAAAAAGCTCATGACCGTCATTTGTTCTTGTTGTTTCTGCTGCACTTTGATATCAGGACTAAATTACATTAATAGAAATTAGTTCAAATAGGACTAAAACTATGGCAAAAACCTAAAATAGGACTTGCTATGTTTTTATTCCAAAATAGGACCATATGAGTCCTATTGGAAACATACATATTTCTGCATTCCATTCTTACCCTTCCATTAAATATGTATTAAAAATAGTCAAAAGCCATAATTAAATGTTTAATTCATAATAAATTCGAAAAAAAATCAAAAATTCGTAGAAATATAATTAAAAAATTTATAAAATTTTTATAAAATAAAAAATTCAATTTTTTTTTTAAATAATTTTATTTTTTAAAAAATTAATAAAAAATAGTAAAACTCCGTAAAAAAAAATTTTAAAAAATATGGATGCCTTTCCCACCGCCTGTACTACCTCCCAGCACCACCACCTCCGGCCGATGAAAAAAATGCCATTTTCCCAGAAAAATGCCATTTTTTCTGAAAATGCCAAAAATGTGGCATATTTCTCTTTTCGAATGCCAACATTTTCATTTTTTTCTGCCATAAATATGGCATTCGTAATGAACTTGGCATTTTTTTCCCCTGGTGACTGGAGGTGGTGGTGCTGAGGCGGCAGAGGCGGCGGCGATTTTTTTTTTTTGAGTTTTTTTTTTAATTTTTTTTAATTTTTTTAATTTTTTGAAAAAAAATTAATTAAATTTTTAATATCGAAATGTTTTTCTTAATTTTTTAGTGTTTTTTACGAATTTTTATTATTTTTTTATTATTTGATTAGGAATTAAAACATTTTAATAGCTATAAGGGTATAATTGTCCAAGGTACACATAATTAGTCCTATGCAAACATAGTTCATTTTTTGGTCCTATTTGTGAAAAGTGAATGACTTTTAGTCCTATTTTGATAATTAACTCTTACATTAATGTAATAAGCTCTTCATGACCGCCATTACCTTAAAATATGGCATTAACATATGTTTTCATGTGTTATCATGCAACTATGATGAGCGATTATATAATTTCTTCTATAATATGAATCTCCCCTAATTTCATGTTATTCATCGGTATGATTTTGCATGTATATGGTAATTCTGATTACAACCACCAGATTTTACATTACAAATGTTATTTAAAATATCTAATGTGCACGTTATGTAACAAAGTACATTATTTCAATACACTAAATACATATCCAATATTCACTATATTTAATATACTCGCATGTGTGATATTTTTTAACAATGATTTTTGTATACTTTTCAATATTATACGGAGTATTAGTTAATTGAAAGAGTGATTAATAATGCACACATATGAATTATATAAAACAATTACTTTCGGTTAGGATTAGTAAAAATTTCCATATATTATATGTTAATTATGCATTTTTTATATGGATAACAGAATGATACGGAGTATATATTAATATTAATATTAATATTAATATAGTAGTATATTATATGGTTGGAGACTAATAACAAAACAAATATATATGGTTGAAGACTTAAATGATAAACATTAAAATAAAATGTAGTGATTACAAACAAAGTGTTGAATCATTATAAATTTATGATGGTATTTGTGTATATTAATATGAAGGTTTAAGTATATTTAATTATGTATTTTTTTATCTATAATTAGTAGTTGACTGTGAATAGCAAATTAGGGGTTGTGAATAAAATTACCCTATGAAATTTTATGCACAATTTTGTATAGGGAGAAAGTACAAACATACCCATGTAGTATGAGTGCAAGAACAAATATTTCCTAATGTGAAATTGCATATACGCCCTTGAACTTTTTAAAGGTGCAAAAGTACCCCTGATTTTCTTATAAAGAGCAAATTTACCCTTATTGACCTTACATTGATAAAATAAAGGGATTTTATCAATTCAGGACCCGAAAGATAGATGAATTATCAATCTGAGACCTGAAAGATGAAATGTATCGATATAGGACCCGAATGATGGAAAATTAACAATTTAGGACTTGAATGATTGGAAATTATCAATTTAGGACCTAAGTTGTCGAAAATTTTATTAATTTTTTTATCTTAAAATTTTTAAATATTAATTAGTTTTATGAAACTAATAAACTTTTGTGAAGAAAAGTTTATCAAAAATTAGCAATGGAATTAATAAAAAATCAAACAAATCAAAACCTATGAAATTTTAGGTCCTAGATTGATAGTTTTTCATCATTCGGGTCCTATACTGATAGATCTCATCTTTCAGGTCCCGAATTGATAATCATCTATCTTTCAGGTCCTTAATTGATAAAATTCATAAAATAAATTTCAAAAACACCACAAATAAATTATAAATTCGAAATTAAAAATTAAAACAAGTTAGAAATGTACTTGTGTCTAATTCCCCCTTTTATTGTTTTTGTATCACAATTTAATATTGTTAGTATAAAATATGATTTCAAAACTTTACTATACATTTTAGATCCTTTCAAAAAAGTGTTAACATATGTGTTGGAGTGTAAAAAAATTTTATTTTTGGCATTCTTTGCACTATAAAATTACATATTTTGTATGATCATAAATAGTCCAAGATTACGTAATAGTGAATTTAATTTTATTAAGGTTAAACAAAATCAAACAATGTTATTTCAAAAAATGTAAAAATGTGTTCAAAATTTCGGAACAAGACTAAATATAATATTTATGAATTTGAATTGTTTCATTTACAACGAATAATAATAACTTATCAATTTAGAATTAAAGATTTAATATTTTAACGTAATAATAAATCATCATTTTTAAATTTCAAATTTATAATTTATTTTTGGTGTATTTTGAAATTTAGTTTATCAATTTAAAGTGGGTAAATTTATTCCTTTTTAAGAACACTGAGAGGTGTTTTTACACTTTCAAAAAGTCCAAGTATATATACACTTAAACATATATTTTAGAGGTATATTGTTCCAAAAAAATAGAACATAAGTTATATTTGTATCTTTTCCCATCCATTTTAACCCACTGTATGGCCTATTAAATGACCCAACATATAAATTAACCCAGCCCAATATGTAACCTACATCTCAGCCGACCTGTCACTCCCTCTGTGGTATCACCGATATCATTTCACATCGGCAGAGATTTCATACCCGCTTCCATTGATACCCGGGTAGCCTGTTCCTGGATAATTAGATTAACAGATCCCATCTACTATTGAATCACTTTCGTCGATCTACAGCAGAAAGACGCAAAGTACCGAAGATCTTCCATCGGTTTAGTAGCGAAATCTCCAGATCGGTAAGTTTTCATATGAATTTATTCTTTAAGTGCATGTTTATCTTTCATACCAATCTTTTTTAAAACCGAAAAGTATGGTACTAGTTTCATTTCCCATTCTTCTTTGATGATCGAGCGAGGATTTTCACCCACGAACACCTTGATGAAAAACCCAAAGGATTTTTAATTTTCTTAAGAAAACATTTTTCTTGTTTTTCCTAATCTGTATAAAACTCTTTAGATTAAAAGATTTTTGTTCATTCGTTTTTAATTGCTATAAGTAATAATTTTGGGTAATCATCGGTGTGCTGGACCTTTACTGTGTTTAGCTTCAACTCGACACTATAGATTGTTATTCCTTAACATTTCCGCTCTTACCTTATACATGTGAACTAACTACTTTTCCTTATTATTAAATCTGCTTTTCCTGTAATCAAGATTTAGGAGCAATAGTAAGTAACTAACATGACTCAACGTTTATATCAAAACAGTATTGAACCCCCTAACTGTAATTTTTTTGGATCCTCATCTCACTCAAACAAATCAATGCTAGTTGTTGAATTTTTTATCACCCTAAATCAAACAGACTGTTATTCTTTACATCCTATTCTCACCATAAATACTATTAACTGTTTTACCGTAACTATTGAAAAACTAACATAACTACTATATACGGAGTATGATTTTGAATATGCTGGTTTACTTGTTTTTGGTCTAGCTTTTCTGGATATTGGATTATTTATTTTATGATTTTAACATGTAAATGAATATATCGGTGTTACATAAACATGTAACACAAAAATTAAGATCATTCTCACTCCACAAAGAACTGGTTACAAATTGTGACAAAAATATGGAAATATCTCTTACTAAGTAATTGCGTATGTAACTCTGTGGCTCATAGAATGTTTCAAGCTTATTACCCATTGCTTCTAATTATTCCAACAACTCTATATGGACTTCATAAACTGTGTTGTATATTGGTCATCTCCTGATAGATTATTGGTTCTCTACAAAACTGCTGATTCACTTTGTTATGGATCACTTGGGGTCTATTTGGACGGAGGGAGTTTTAGGAGAAGACTTTGGAGCGCGTAGTCTATATCTTTGATGAATAGATTTTTCTAATGACGTCATGCAATCATATATTATGTTAATCTTTCAATTTCTTTTATAAAAACTCAAATGTATTATCATGATATAGACTATGCTCTAAGACCTCTAAAACCTTTCCTTTCAAAATCCTCCATTTAAACCAACCCTTGAAGAGTTAATGGTATAAAAAGTAATTAGTGTACTATACTCGCCTTGGATGGAAATTTATTTTCCTGTTCTTTTATCACACATCCTGTCAAAGAAAATTAGCAATTACTGGCAATTATGAGACATTTTAACTGCTGGATGCATTTTACCTTAAACCTTGTTGAGTAACCTCAGGGAATTTAAATAACCTAAGCAAAATTATTTTTAAATGTTTGGCACCTCGGCTTTATATTTGAAAATGTAATGGAATATGAAATATGAGTGATGAGTCATATTATAATTCCTTACATATACTGAGATTTACATCTTAAAATAAATGTATTGACTTTAATGTGCATCTTTTTAGTTACCCCAAACCTTCTTTCTTTTCAATTTCTTTATCAATAAGATTGATGTGATTCAGTCTTTCCTATTTTCCTTCATCAATCTACTTGACAGTACTTGCTAAACATGAATTTTAATGTTACGAAGAAGGGGTTAGGTCACACTTTGGGTGAGCATAGAGGTTCCTTATCTTCACAATGGCAGATACTCAACAAGAGCATGACAAGAACATTGAAATATGGAAAATGAAGAAACTGATCAAAGCCCTACAGTCTGCCAGAGGAAATGGTACCAGCATGATCTCACTCATCATACCACCGGGTGATCAAATATCCCGAATTACCAAGATGTTGGCGGAAGAGTATGGGACCGCATCCAACATAAAAAGCAGAGTGAACCGTCAATCCGTCCTTGGTGCCATAACGTCAGCCCAGCAAAGACTCAAACTTTACAACAAAGTTCCCCCAAACGGACTCGTCCTCTACACGGGAACCATTGTGACAGATGATGGCAAAGAAAAGAAGGTCACCTTTGACTTTGCACCTTTTAAGCCCATAAATGCTTCTTTATACCTTTGTGACAACAAATTCCACACTGAACCACTCGGTGAACTCTTGGAATCTGATGAGAAGTTTGGTTTCATCGTCATGGATGGGAACGGGACCCTCTTTGGGACCCTAAGTGGCAACACAAGAGAAGTTCTTCACAAGTTCACTGTGGATCTCCCAAAAAAGCACGGAAGGGGAGGGCAATCGGCTCTCCGGTTTGCCCGTCTTCGGATGGAAAAACGTCACAATTACGTCAGGAAGGCTGCAGAACTTGCCACACAATTATTTATAAACCCCGCAAGTAATGCGCCAAACGTGGCCGGGTTGATTCTCGCAGGGTCTGCAGATTTCAAGACTGAGCTAAGCCAATCAGACATGTTTGACGGCCGGTTACAATCCAAGATCCTTAATGTGGCTGATGTGTCTTATGGTGGGGAGAATGGGTTCAACCAAGCAATAGAGTTGTCTGCGGAGATTCTGTCAAATGTGAAGTTCATACAGGAAAAGAAACTGATTGGGAAGTTCTTTGAGGAAATTAGTCAAGACACTGGTAAGTATGTGTTTGGGGTGGAAGACACAATAAAAGCCCTAGAGATGGGAGCTGTTGAGACGCTTATTGTTTGGGAGAATCTTGATATTAACCGTTTTGTGATGAAAAACAGTACGACTAACGAGATTGTTGTTAAACACATGAACAAGGAGCAAGAGGCTGACCATAGCAACTTCAAGGATGCCAGTACAAATGCTGAGCTGGAGGTCCAAGACAAAATGCCACTTTTGGAGTGGTTTGCCAATGAGTATAAGAATTTCGGTTGTTCTCTTGAGTTCGTTACAAACAAGTCTCAAGAAGGGTCTCAATTTTGTAGAGGGTTTGGTGGGATTGGAGGAATCCTTAGGTACCAGCTTGACATGCGTGACTTTGATGAGCCATCTGATGAAGGAGAAATGTTTGAGGATTCTGATTAAGTTCTTTTACTACAGAAGATTCACAATGAGATATTTCTGGCCTTTGGTCATAAGAATCAAACAGTGAGTGTATTTCGCTCTTCTGTGTTGTATTTTTCTTTATCATTCCCAACTCCTAAGACCAGCAATTAGGCGAGTCAGGATGACTGAAGACAACTTGTGTGCTATTTATCCCTCTTTTTTTTTTTGTTTTACAGCTTGTTAGGCATTTATTTTACTATATACTGCTGCTTATGGCTTTATGACGTTCTATTCTGTCATAGTCTGTACTTCATTATGTGGTGGAGACATCAGACATGCATTTGAGTCTTGTTTTGCCCTAAATCGATGCGGAAATCTAATATTACTTGTACACAAGTGTTTGTCTTAACGGGGTATTTGGTTCATGTAATTTCACGTTACCATGATACCTTAAGAGAAGTTACGAGATTACCTGGTTCGATACCAGTTAATGATTTGAAGTTAAATCAGTGTAGGTAAGTGAGGTAATATGAGGGGTGTATTATCTTGTGGTAATTTTCTTTGACTTATCTTATCCTTGATAGTCTAATGACTAATCTGATCTTGTGCTTCCAAGAGATGAAGAGATAATCCTAATGCGTAGATACACTTCCATTTTGTGAACCTAACTTCACCAAAGAAGAATAAATATAAGACTGGCATAAGTTATATTTATGATGGGGCCTAATGTTGAAAAACATATGGTTCATTTATATGCAGTGGTAATTAAACTTTGAAATGGTCATATGCTTCTTAAAAAATCACTGTGGGTAAAAGATTAGCATTTTAAAGTGAGTTATCAGTATGGCAAGTTTCTTATACATGCAAGTTTTCAATCACTTTTCCATATTTCTAGCGCAGGTTCTACTGTCCTAGTGTCCTACACCTTGGCATTGCCACCTCATACAGCCATACTCGTCAATTGCGATCTCAACCGTTCATTTGATTGTGATCAATGGCTGTGATTTAGTAACATTGACAGCACCATATCTTGATCAATAAAAATGAGTATTGCTCACCCTGATTTCATTTTGCAATATTCTTCCTCGCATGGATGGAACTCCTTAGTCCTTACCATTTTCTTCTTCGTTTTCTTTCCTCTGTGATCTCTATACATTAAATCTCTTTCATGCCCACAGTTCACATTTTCCATCTCTTTCTCTCAACCACATTTCTCTGGGGGTGATTTTTCTCTAGTGCATAACGCTGTTTAGAACACGAATGGACACTTGGACACAGCCCCATTGTAAAGTTTTGTAGATTGATTAACGTACTCTCCCGTTTTTATTGTGTGCTTTAGTGGGTTATTATTGTTTTAATGGGTACACTAAAATAATATTTAGAAATTGCCCTAAATAGGAGTAAAAACATTTTGAAATTCCAAAATAGGAGTATCATGTTTTTTTATTTCTTGAATAGACGTAATTTGCCAATTTTGGAAAAAATGCCATGTTTAAAGCCTAGTAATGCCAAACATGGCATAAATTTACTCCTATTTAGAGAATAAAAACATGATAGTCCTATTTTGGAATTTCAAAACTTTTTTACTCCTATTTAGGGAATTTACTCGATAAAATTGTAGTGGTGGATAGCAGGAAAAGTAAGATGTAGAAGTAGAAAAAGTAAGAATGAGAAGTAAAAAAGTCAGAGTTTATGTATTTTGATATGATAGAACTTGCCAATATAGAAGGTGGAGCAAGCATAAAAATGTAATCAAAATGAATACTGAACAAATAATAAAAGGTGATGCAGAAACTTTTAGTATGCACCATCTACTGGGAGACTTTAAAATGCAGAATCCTTCTATGGTTGAATGCAATGCAAAAAGTATAACAGTGATATATTTCATGCATAGTTGCATTCAGTGATGTGAATTATCAATTGCACTTTCATTTCAACGTATTGCTTGAACTGACCGGGCCTACTCCTAGACTTTCAGGGGCTTAATTTCATCCCATCCCTTTTGATTTGTTGTGCATAGTAAAGACATGTTTTTAAGTCATCAGGCTTGCTTGGGTTTATCTTGCTGTAAATCTCTGATATGACTCTAATGAGACATTTTCTCGCTAACGTTTGTTTAGCGACATTTCCAACAGGCGAAGCGCATGCTACTCAGAACTGACGCTTCCTTCATTAAACACCAGTCCACATATAGATGACATATCATGGTTTGTTTGCGCGTTATCTCTCAAACAGATTAGATCTTCTATTCCAAAATTGTATTCTAGATGATGTATCATGATTCGCTCGCACATTCCAACCAGCGTTGGATTGTCGTTACGTGTACTCGACTTAGTAAATACATGTGGCGGCAATATAAATATTGAAATATTAGTACACAAAAAAGTAGTAGAAGATCACATCCACTTATGTAGGGGGTGAAGCATTGTGTTAAGGTATTCTAGCAACCAAAAGTTGTGTTAAATTGAAGGCCTCCTTTGTTGTTATTACCAGGTTGTACTGATCAATGAAGAACATGTGCATGCACAAAGCAAATATAGATGTATCTTGGCTACTAAAAAAATAAGGATAGTGATGTAACAGGGAAAATGAATGCCAGATCGTGGTATTAGTTAACACTGACCATTTCTCAATGCATGTGGATTGAGTAAGTTACAACTATTCCAAATACTGTTTTGATGATGTTTTCATATGAAGGATAGAGTAAGGCCACTCTGATGCTTTCTTGATCCCATGTGGCCTAGCACATTTGGTTCAACTTTCATCATTTTGTTGCTTTGCCTTGTTGTTCTTGTGTCCCATTTTTATGAGGCTGGTGCCCACTCATTTTTTTAATTTTTAAAGTGGTAATTTCAATTAATGGTTGATTAGGTGTAATATAATGGAAGGGACAAACTCTAATAAGCATGACAATCCATCCCTGAGCCCCCAGAATCGATCAGACAGTTATCTGAGAGGATGTAAGTTGAGTTTTGATCACTCTGATGGAAAGAGAGTGAGGTTCCATCCCAAGTCATTACTTGGAGTTGAACCCGAAACCTCTCCCTTGTGGCACCTTCTTCCTATCAGGTGAGCTATGCCTCCCGGTGAAAAGGACAAACTATATTTCAAACAGTGTTGTCTTATTTGGAGTGACAACTGACAAGTGGTAGAATCACATTATATCAGAATAATCTAATTTTTTGTTTGAAAAATACGCTAAAGTTTCACTCTTCATCGAATCAAATCGATCAAGAACAAACTATATGAAGTTGCAAAATTTAGCTTTTTTAATCATCGTTGGATTTTGTGCAATATTTAAAAATTGTATAACACAACAAGTGTAAAGTCCATGAAAAGGAAATAAGTTTGTAAGAGAAACCAGAGCTTAAAGTAAAACTTTTTTACAATTGAAAGATAGAAAACTTTTATATATGATCAAAAAAGGAAGAGAAAGATAAATTTGAAGCAAGGGGTTATATAAGATTACATCAAGTGCATAAAAGAAAAATTGTGTGGATAACATTAACATATCATGTGTAAAACCATCTAAACCATGCAAGAAGATGTAGAGCACACTATTGGTATAAAACATTGAATTTCACTATGGATAATTTGTACTAATACAACAGTGAATGATGGGTGAACCTCACAACTCGAGTGGTAGGCCCGTGGTGATGCCACTAGGCACCGTATTTTTTTGAGTAATACACAACAACGTACATATTATGGGAGAGGTAAAATTTATGGGGTTTACTTGCCCATTCCCTTTCTGTCCCTTTGAGTTTACAATTTTTAACATTGTCAACTGAGATTCACTACAACTTTAAATGTACCTTTTAAATGTGTTGATTCAAAATATTAATACTTATTTAAATACTGAGACACAAGAATATACTTAAGCATTTTTATGTATACCCTTTTTCTTCCAAAAAAATGTATAAGCTTTAGGGCGGTTTTTTACACGAATATTACTGAAATAAAACATATTTAGATAAATATGACTATTCATTACTACAATGTGGTGTTGTGGTAACTTAAGCTCAAAACTTGAACATGAATTACTATGATTTCATTACTACTCTAGTCATTAGTCATATTTTTTTAAATCTTCTTTATTTTGGTCATATTTATGTAATTATTTCTAAGCTTTATATGCGTTACTCCGTCCCGAAATATTTACATAAATATTTTGCTCTGTTTACAAAATATTATATATACCCCATCTACCCAAATGATAGTTTTAGTTTGACTTTAAGTCTTCTAGATGAACGTTTAACCATAATAATCTATAAATACATACCTTTATAATCTATAAAAAATTAAGAAGTAACATTTGAGTAATACATATTAATGAAGTTTATAAAATCAATTCTGTGTGATAAAGTATTTTTAATTTTGAATAATTAATCGTCAAAGTTTAAGAAGTTTGACTCGAAAGTCAACCTACCACTAACTGAGGGAAGGGAGAAGTATATGAAAGGCAAAAAAGTGAAAAATCATACTAGTAGAAACTAATTCTATTGTATCTTCATCATCCTACCCCTTTCTCAAATCCCCTTCAGACCTAGAGAGGAAAAGGGAGAAGCAGGGGGAGATAAACAAGAAACAGCAGAGGAATATGAAGTACATAAAGAATAAGAAGTCTTGGCACTAGTGGAAGAGAGTTCTATAAGCAAATCCACAAAAGCCCTAACTATAAAACCATGATTCCCATCCCCATTCATCTTCAAATACCATCCAAGAAGCTCTTGAAGCCATTCCCAGTCTTGGACCCCATCACAGCTCTCAATCATTTCCTGCATGGACCTCTTGAAGTCTCTGTATGGATCTTCAGTGTCCATGACCACAACCACACTCTCCTTGAAAGGGTTCTCTTCTTCACTCTCTTCATTGACCATTTTCTCCTTTGGGTCCTCCATGATTGTGCATTCTCCAGGCTCAAAGAACAGCCTGTCTGATGATCTCATCACTTCCCTTATGATCGTTTCCTCTGAATGATCAGTCAAGAAACTCGTGGAGCCGGAGGTTTCAGTGAAGAAAGACTCCGGCGTGGCAACCCCGTCGGAGGTGGGTGACCGGAAAGACAGAGTCTTTGTGTGGGAGCAAGAAAGCCGCCATTCCCAAGAGCTCTGAAGCTCCCTGTTCTTGAAAATGGAAGGGAGGAGGCTCGTTTTCTTGCCCATTGAAGATGAGCAGAGATTTCTAAGGGGCCGTTTGGGAAAATGGAAGCTTGTGGGTTTTGTGTTGGTTGATTAGGAGGAAAGGTGTATTAATTGTTATCAGAAGGAAATCGCAGGGAGATGATCAGATAGATATAAAGGGGAGGTGAGAAGGTGTGGTACTTTCATGGGTTGGTCGGACTGCTCATGTTTGTATTAAATTCTTTGTTTGAATTTTTTTCATTGTTCCATTTTCTTTTAAATCTTTTTTCTTCTTATTATTTTAGCATGAATGGCATTAATATTTCCCCCCCTTTTGATAACTATCTGTGTTCAAGAGTCAAGACGCTCCACCACTATAGACGGCAGTGGAGTGAGTGGAGTCTAACTAGAAACACTCAAAACTAGGGAAAATGGTCAAATTGTTTAGCTTAAAAAGTGCAAATCACTCCTTATATACAGTTTATGTTCGCCCGTCACCATTTGGGGCGGTTCTCGGTGAATTTTTTTGATGATTTTTTTTGAGAATCTTCTTCATTAAGTCTAGTTTACCCGTACCAAATTTCAGATAAAAAATCAACCGGGAAGACAGTAAGATGATTTTCTGAAATGTACTGCGCTGTTTAACTGCACAATTATCTTCAAAAATTCATTTGACTACTTTCTCGATTGAATTGTTTGCTAAAATTTGTGGTATGAGTAAACTAGATTTAATGAAGAAGATGCTCAAAAAATTGATCAAAAACTTCCACTGGGAACCGCCCCAAATGGCGACGGCCGAATAGAGCCTCTTATATAAGAGGTGATTTGTATTTTTTAAGTTAGTTCAAGGGTTTATTTGACATTTTCCCCCTCAAAACTATAATTTGAGCATTATAAACATTCTAAAAGTAAGTACAAAAAAACAAATATTTCCTCCTTCCCGAATCTAATTCTAGATTGTTGCTTTTAAGGTTGACTAACAATAAAATTAAACCATTCATATGGAGAGCAGCTAAATCGATTTTAGTAATTAAAATCTATACATTCTGAAAGTACATTGAAAATTCGAGTAAGTCATAAAATCTCATTTACAATATGTGTCGTAATAAAAAATGACATTAAGCAAGTACATAAAGTGAAACTGTGAAGAATAAGAAAAGTTGATTTTACTCATTTTGAGACGAAAATGAGTAATCAGATAGCTCTCCATAACCAAAATGTCACGTTTTGAGTGCATAGTTTGTTTGGATGAAGTGGTAAGAGAACTAAAATTGATACCCCGTAATAGTTTGTTGAATTAAAGACTATTTTAGTTTTTCAATCATTAGTTCATTAATGGAGACTAGTTTTACTTTGCAACAAAATGATGCTTAGAGGTATTTTTGAATTTTCTATCAAGCATACTAATTTTCATCAAATTAATTCACTTATTTATGCAAACATTTTAACACTTTGTTGTTCGCTGATTACTTATTTATGCAAACATAAATATATTGACATAAACATAAACATAAACATAAACATAAACATAAACATAAACATACTTTCAAGGAGAGGTTAATCAGGTCATAGTTTCGAAATGCATCACAATTAAAGATTGACATTTAATATATAAGAATATAAGTTACCATAGTTGCGGAAAAATAAAACAAAATAATATCCGAAGTAGCATATAATCACGATATTAGTTGACAGTTTCAAGTTCCAACTTGTAATGCGAAATATAATCTAAACTTTTAATCAGCATGAACTTCATCATAACTACTTCATCCGTACTAGAAAGAAGATTATATTTCAAAACTTATAGATGAGAACCGGAAATGTATCCTATTTATGGCGTAATAAGAAAAGATTGGTACAAAATTGCTGACCCTGAAAATATTTGCTGTTAGATATGCGTAGGAGCTGGATATTTTTAGGAGTTCTATACTTTTCTTGATTAACTATATCAAGGTACTCAAATTCATGTCCTGAAAGGTCCAACACTCCAACCCCATGTGGCCAAGACCCATAGTCCTTTGACTCCTTTCAAAGTTATTGCGGCATTCAAAAATGGGGGAATATGGAGTTCTTTGAAGAAGTCCAATCAAATAGATTCATAGATTCTTCAACTCGTACAAAGTCTATCAAAGGTGTACATAAAATGGTGTTAAGTGTTAACCAAGCATTTCGGAATTTGGATTGATCTGGAGATTTTTCAACTTACTAGTACATTAGAGTAGAAAGTTAAAGTTAAATGCCTCTACACTAATTAAAATTGATTTCAAGATTTTCTTCATCTCGCTTGTCATCAGGATAAAAAGTTCTATATGCTAATTTGAATCTTCCCAAGGGTCAATGTATGCTACCTGTGCTTATATAGATCTCAATGCCATTTGTGAGATTACTAAGACGAAACGGCCCAGAACACCCGTCTTTAGAAGGAGATTTTGGATTCCCACATCCAAATAATTAAAACAGAGAAAAGGTGATAAATTTATAAGACACTAGAATGAATTAGCAAATAACGAAATATTATATGGTCAATTTTTTATGGATAATAAAGTTGACCAATGCTAACACAATCATGTACGTAGTAATGTAGTAAAGAATAAAAAATCGTAATTTTTATAATTATGTTGAATTTTTACGGCATAGTGACAATAAAAGTACACTTATGGATGGACTGGGACGGGTCGACCCAACCCGAGCCCGGTACTATTTAGGCCCGGTACTGTTCAGGCCCGGTCCCGTCCCGGGGCTTGGCCTGATGGTATACGGGAAAGCATCGAGCTCGATTTTTTGGGCCCGACCAGTCCAGGGCCAGGTCCGGGCCTGACTGCACTATTTTTTGATTGAATGTGCAGTCCCATCATGAAGCCCGCCGGCCCGGTACTGTTTGGTCCCGGTCCCGACCCGATACAAACCCGGGCAGGTACCGGACCTGAAATCCATAAGCCTGAAGCCCACCCAGTCCCGGCTCTAAGCCTGACCTGGTCCCGTCCCAGTCCATCCTTAAGTACACTCATAATAATTCTAGTCACATTCTTCCACAATTTTCAATTTTTGAAACCCCGATTGAGTAATTGAGTTGAAATCTTATATGGACAAAAAAAAGTCAAGTAACTAAAAGAAAGAGAAGAAGTGTAGTAACAGGGACACTTACACCATTAGATCTCACATTGATTAGTTCACATATCTGAACTCCCACCCAGGTCATAACCACTGATTTGAAGTGCAATAAATGTTCAGCAAATAAGTCATGAGAGCTAAGATTAAACCACCGAACAATCGTGTACAATAGCCCCATTGGTAGGCTTCTCTTTTAGGTTTATTAATTTTTTATATCAAACCCTAATTTACTTTGTTGCACTGTACTACTTAGGAGCATTGGCTATTAATAAAACAAAAGGGGTGTATTATGTCACTTTTTTTTGTAAAAATGCTGACAGGACTACCATTTTGGAAAATTGATTTGAGGGTTAAATAATGTAAATACATAGTTGAAATAAAGATGTTTTTATAGATAACTCATCTTCATCAGCCACATCAACTTGAGTAAAATTATCAAATTCAACACTTCAAGCCTTGATTACTTAGCAGTCTCCTAATTACAAGCTAAAGATGCAACTGAACCAAACAGGGAGTTGCAAATCATCTAATGGAGCTGGTCAAACATGGAAATACAGGTTTATGACTTTATTCCAAAACTACTACTCCATTTAGACCTCAGAGAGTGGTGCCAGTGGACATTTCAAGCACCCATGGGGTAAAGTTATTCTAGGTGGAGCTAAAGTAAAAAGCAAAGAGAACTATGTATGCATTGAGGATATGTACACACCACCTTATTGAAATTTATGTTTTTGCAGAATACATTTATTTTTCCCTTCAAAGCAAGACTGAGTTTCACTATTCATTGCAGCAAACCAGCCCCTTCAGCTTTTTTTAGCCTCTCCTTCAGCTTTCTGATCAGAGGGAAAAAATATACTATTTAAATATAAACAAATCAATTGTTAAGTAATACGTACATAAATAGGATCACTTAATTTCTTTTCCGTAAACTAACATAATACAATCCTACGTAGTATTAAAGAAGTTCATGTCTTCTACGGAGTATTTCATTTATAGCACAACACCTTTTGAATTAAAATTCTAATTCCTCTCTATTATACTTCTCTCCCCTTACATTTTGATGATGGCTTTTACTGCCAAATACTTCGTATTCTAAAATAGTTAAGTCATTAACATTCCCATGAAATATCATTGTCATGTTCAGATACTTAAATTAGTACATCACACTCAGTTGTGTCATAAGTTTTTGTTATTACTTCCTCAGAAACTTGAATTTGAAAGTATATGCTCATCAGCTCATATTTGTACATTCATTGTCGCATAAATACCATTACACTTATATTGTCGGATTAATACTGCTGCAAACATTGCGCTGACGATATGAGTTTTTAGGCAGTGATATACTGGTTGGTATGTATTGTTTTTTGACAGAAACGATAACAAAATGACCGTCACAACGAAGAGGAATAGTAGCCGGAGTCCGATGTGGTGGCCAAAGTCTGGAGATGGGTCACACTTCGATCCTACACATAGACCCAATGCGCCATTTTTCTCAATCACACCTCAACACTAATACACTATCATCACCTGAGAGTCGTCTAAGATCTCGAGCCGAACAGTCTTGGTGTGTAAGACACCATTAGACCCTTATTCTGCCCACCTACTGTTTCTCTAAGCCTAGTGTAATTATAATTAACTTTGGTATGGTGTAATGCAATACAATGTAATATAGTACGTGATGAGATAAAAATTGTAATGTAATGAAATGAAGTCTCTATTCCATTATCATGTTTGGTTACTTAAGTAATAGCAATTTTGAAATGTAATCAACATTATATAATTATTATGTGTGTTTACCCGTACGAGTACACGGTGCAAGAAATTACTACGTACTACCTATTTAATTACCAGACCCAAAGGACCCAAGGGGTCATGAAGGAGCAACTTTACGTTGGGAGACATGGGTGCACTGCTGCACTTGGGTGTGAAAATACTGGTTTCGCCATGATGATAGCAGCATGAAGCCCAGCAATTAATTGGAACAACATATAATGGTCTCAAGGAAGTGTAATCACAAATACAT